GAACGAGTGGAGGGGCCGCAGACGATGGAGACGGTCCAACATGCGAATCCTGAAATGCAGGTTGCATCACGGTCACTGACTTTTTTGGCTAGAGCTGTTATAACTACTGCCTCTATTAAAATAAACTGGTGGCGATGGCATTCTGTTCAGTCATATTGCAGTTATCCTTAAAAATGCTTAACAGATAACCGCCTAATGACGCCGATTACATGTTCGAGTAAATCGGTTAAATGTGTCGAATTTGACTATAGCCAAAATATTGGAATGACAAAATGTACCGTCGGGTTTCTAGAATACAAGAACGCGATCTCTCTTGCCTAGCTGTTCATTCAACGAAGTTAGTGCACTAGTTAATAAGGACAAAAGCTCAGTTCACTATAATAGAGGGCAATCGCCTCTTTTCCATTTATGCGTACAGACGACTTCGAAATATTTTGATGGACATTAATAGATCTCTTGGCGTATTAAAATTGATAAGCACTACCTATCAAATGAAGGGTGACGGGAACTAAGATATCTAAGTTTCAAGAAAATTCCTCTCTGTTAGGTATGTGTTATGCAACGAGATTGACTTGAATAGTTATCAAGGTCTAACTTAGACTAAATGTAAAAACATACATCAGCAAAAATCAAAGTGACTAAAAAGAGACGTCGTCTGGTTATGTTTAAATGGTAGTGCGTGGAGTAGGCACAATGACTCATCAGTTTTTACTTAAACAATGTGACCTTTCACGACGAAAACTCTTCGATACTGTTATTTAATAAAAGCATATGCTTTTACATAAGAATCCATGCAATTCATCGGTATAGGACAACTCAAAACCAGCGTACGTCAGTCAGCCGAAACAACTACTGGATCCAAAAACGTAAAGGATTCCAAGCGCTGGACGGTGCACGTATGCACCCGTGGTGTGAAGAAGATAGCTCTTACAATGCGACGTGAAAAGTTTGCGCTACGCCAAAGATTATGAACACAGATTAAGTATAGGGAATGGCACCGGTTCATTTGCTTTACATTTGGTACAAATTGTAGTGTAAATAAAATCGAAAATACGAAATAGAGCTAAACGCACATCGGTCCGAGACTAATGAATAACTAACCTGCAAGAAGTTGAAACTGGGCTTTAGTGGGTTTAGAACGGTACTGAGTATCACATCTGCTTCGACATTATTGAGGAATTCGTGTTCGGGCGCTTTAGCGACTGGGGGCTCGGTGTGCACTGGTTCTGGCTTGGTTTGCGGAGGCTGGGTAGCAGATGTGTTCTTTTTTACGGGCGGCTCCGGAGCCCTTGGAGCAGGTTTTTTCTTCGGTGCCACTGGTTCGCTAAACGGCGCCGCTAGCGCGTTCCTCACATCAAGATTCGATAGCAAGTTCAGGCACGTAGTCCTGACAGCCTCAAATGTATGTCCACGAAGCTTACTGCCCTTTGCGTTACAAATGGGAACGGGGCGACCAACGGCCAAACCAAGAAGAATTGAAGCTTG